GTGTTGTGAGGTTAGCGACATGGCGTGTGCAGCGTGCTGTGAGGTTAGTGACAAGGCGAGCGTGGCACGTCGTGCGCGGGCAGGAGTGCCTGGCGATGCTTGTTTGCGGGTGGCTCCTCGATAGGCTTGTCCTTGAAATGGGGCCACTTGCTTGACTTCTCTTCTTCTCTACGCTTCGTCTTAACCCTGGGGGTTACTTCATTGGCCTTCAAATAGTCAAAATTTGTTGATGTGTCCAATGAAGTCTCCTTCGCTTGTGGGGTCTTTCCTCAAATTCTTCTTCTTTGTTGGTGTAGATGTCATTTTGGAATGTTGTGCCAAATATGATCACATCAATCGGCATTTCGAAACTCACTTAGTGATCTTGCATCAACTTAAAAACTCACTTAACCAAATCATAATGATAAAGTCTTCTTGCATAAAGCCACCAAACTGCAGAAGAGCAAACTGAGGGATGGACCTGGTTGATTAATCTCATGCAATATTTGAGTTGGTTCTTCTTTTAACTTACATCCCTCACAATAAATTTTTCTTCAATATGCATGTTGCATTTGGATCGTGAGTAATGTCCAGCATGGCTGTTATTTATTAACCATGAATATCTTTACTTTATTTCCACCTATAAAATTATATATGATATCAAAATTCATTTTTAATAATATTTCAAGCTGTGAAATGCTGTAGGACATGATAGTTATCCCCGATCTTGTATTCAGTGAATTTGGGGAGGTTTAGATATTTTTTTTGTAGGTTGGAGAATAAGAGTAACTGAGAATAAATGTCACATATAGTTAGCTCGCTAGTCTTGGATTCAACTCGACTAAGTTTGTTATGGTACTGGGATGATTACATATTTTCTATAAATGAAAAATATTGTTGGGATTATTAGAATTATGTTTCTTACCATTATAGTATTTGAGTATTTACAGGATTCACAAAGTTGTGAATGGCTCCCATGACACAACCATTAAGTTTTTGGACCTTAGATATGATAATATGATACATTTAATCCTTAAACCATTAATTTTTGCTTTCATTTTCATATTTCATTTATGTGCTTTGCATGAAAGACAATGACAACTTTAATATACCATAAGAAATTTGTTCGAGTGGGTAGACTCTTCAGGGGAAGATGATGATCAGGGTTTGTTTTTTATTCTCACGTAGTAAAGTGCATGTTGTTAGATTGGATCGGTTCAGAAGAAGTAATTGTTTGGCAGATGGTTTTCTAATGATCGATCAGTACTTATCCATCACATCCTTCTAGGTCTAAATGCAGTACAAGTGTGTATTATATGTCATTTACAATTGACCATTGAACTTCTTGAAATGACATTTAGATATATGTACTTTATTCAGCTTCATATATTTTTACTTGGGACGACTTTGAACTTATATTTTGTACATGTATTAACCTTCTAAGAGTTGTATAAACTTTTTTTTTAAATTATATATTAGTTAATTTGATGTGTGCTTGAAATTTGAAGATTTTATATTATACATACTTTTAAATTTCTAATTCTTTGTAGTGGTGAATATGAAATTAGATTCTTTCATGATTAAATGTGAAAATTATCTCAAAGTGTGGTTCACAATAACATGAGAATTTGTGATACTATTTTAAATATCTTATAAATGTAAACTAAAAATTGAATTGACTAAAAACACTATGAAAACTTTTTTATAGCATTTTTGTAAAGTGAAGAAAACTTTGTTATAACATTTTATAGGTGCTATTAAAGGTTAATAATAGCATAATCATACAAGTTTTAATAGCATTTAGCATAACCGTATAAAAATGCTGTAAAAAAGTCTCCCAGTTTCCATAACGTCAGCTATCACGACGTACGAAAAAATGTTATGCAATATTTATAATAGCGTTTATTAGATGCTATGTAAAACGCTGTGGAATGTCTACCATAGCGTTAAGTTTAAGCTATAAAAACTTATTCATAGCATTTTTTTAAAGCTATAAAAATTTTATTATAATGTTTATGACAACGTTGTAAAAAGATTTTATAACATCGAAATCATGCAATTAAAGGCAGATGTTCTATAACATTTGGCATAGAAAAAAAAACGCTATAGAAAGTCTCGGACTTTCCATAACATCGCCTACCACCACGTCCCAAAAACGCTATGAAGAGTCTATGATAACGTTTTTTTGACGCTATCGTATGTGATATTTGTTGTAGTACAATGCATACCTTGAGTGCATAATTCTACAACGGATAGTTCGGTAAGCATATTCTTGCAATCAAGACTTAAAGCTCTCCTCGGTTTATATAGTCAACAACCAGTTCACCTTTTCGTTGTCTAGTATTAGTGAGCTCCATCATGCTAACTTTTGCGCTCTACTTAATAGCACGAGGGTAAGTGCAAGTGCACACTGTCACAAGTAATAATCTGAAAATATTCCAAGTTCGTCTCCACAGGGACTAGTTTTCTTTTAAAAATGAATTTGTAAACTGCTTGAATGAACAATCAAGTTTGGGATAAAATTTTGGTGAATATGTTGGGAAATACAATTTAAAAACACAAGGATTAAAAAGTCAATCCCTACTAAGATTTAGTTCTAAAAGATGAATTACACCTATCAAGTGTGCCCGTAATTAAGCTCAATTTATGCAAACTGGTTCAATTCCTATTCCATATTGCTTTTGGTTTGTTTAGAAGCTTAGGCTAGTGTTTACATATGTCTATGCAACTCTAGAATCCTAAATAAATCAAATCCCAACTTACGTTTAACGGGTAAGAGAGTTTATGTCTAGAATCTTGTTTTAGTTCTTATTTCTAAGTAACTTCCCGTTTTACCTTGATGAAATTCATTTGACTTTAACCTTTTCAGAATAAAATTCAAACTAATGTGATTTAAACAAGTGGCCAACAAGAAAATCAACTAGAATAATTATATCAATCAAGATAAGCAAAGAGAGCGTAAAACGTCGTGCTCACTGATAGATGTAATTTAAAGTAGATGAATTAAATCATTTGTAGGAGGGTTGAATAAACAATTTAGCTACTCATAGAAATGAAAGAAATGAAAAGACAAGAGAAGATAACAAAAGAATGCATTTTAATTAGAAATGGAAAGAAAGTACAAAATGAAACAAGTTGAATTGCAATAAATAAACAAAAGAAAATTGCAAAAAAATTAATTGAAGAACAAAACTTAAAAACTAAAGTTGATAACAACGTAGAAAGGAAAGAACTAAAGCATGAAAAATGAGATGTCTTGAAGTGATGCTTGGAAGCTCCTTTTATAGGTCATGGAGGTAACAAGATGTTAAGAAATGCATGGGAGGTTGAAACCAAATGAGGTTGTAGAGATTTTAGAAACTAATAACAAATCTTGGACCAATTACTTGGTCAAAAGTTGTTACTCCCGTTTTGACAATCTGGGCATCGAATGTGGCTCAAGCATTGTGAAGCTGGAACTTTCAAAGCAGTTTGGCTGGTGCATTCTTCTAGTAAGTTGGAAATTCTGGTCCTGTGACGTGTCTGACACATTGTGATAATCAATCTTCACTTTTCCTTACAAAATACACATATTTACACCAATTAATCATTATTTACCGATAACTTAATGTCCAAGTCCTTAATCTCAAAATATACACATTTTCCCTAAATTATATACATGAACATACACTTTCCATCATAAATAACTCTCAACTAAGCATGAAAGCATATTCCTTTTAGCCTTTAATCAATGCTTATCACTGACAATTCGCCTTGTACTGTAGGAATTCTCTTTCAAGTTATTCCCAACTCTCAATCATTTCAGGCTTGAGATCGATATACCAATCAATCGCGTTTCCCTTCAACGTTCGAACAAACTGCTTCACCAGTTGATCGCCTCTCGTACCAGCATTCTCACAAGTTTCGACGAAGTGAGCAATATGTTATTTAGGATTACCTTTTCCGTCGAAATGCTGAAACTTAGGCGGTTGATATCCAACAGGCATTCTCAAGTTGTCAATTCTTTTGGAATATGGTTTTGAATACAAGATAGTATTTTGAGAAGATCCACCGTATTGAGCCCTGATTGAGTTTGTTATCATGTCTTGGAGTTGTTGAACAGAGAGTGAAGCGATCGAAGTGGAATGTTGAGAGTGACTTTCTTGAGTGTTGGTCTTTCCTTTGTTGTTATCTTTGACATCTGGGGTCTGACTTGACTCAGTAGCATCAACATTTTGGCTCTCAATCATATTCTTCAGAGAAGCGATTTGAGAATCTTTTTCTTCGATTATCTTCATCAAATTTCTAATTTTTCTCTCTATTTCTGCCATTTTTTCATCATAGTGCTTGCATCAGTCATCACAATAGAGACCGTGTCAAGGTTAGGATCAAATAAAAGGTTATGATTAACAAGAAACTCATCTTCAATAGATGTTTCTAACAGCATCATTACTTTGTTCTCAATAATAGGAGGAGTTTTATTTTCCCGTAGTTGGAGTTCATCAGAGTAACCATGGGTGATATGACCCGTATGAAGGTTACGAATGATAACAGCTGTTGTAGAAGCCCTCTTGAATTCCATTGATTTTCTTGGAAAACTTTAAGTCTTGAGAAAGAGATGAGAGGTAGAGATTATCCCACTGGACGTGCCAATTTGTTTATACGAAATTTCTGGAGAAATTATATTTCGTGGAGTTGAACTTTGATTTTTGTTGTATGTGTTGAATAGTGGATTCAATCTCTAATATTTATCCTCTGGTTCTTTCTCTCGAACTTGATGTGAAGATTGAGATGTTTGTTCTTGAATTTAGATTGAAGTTCTATTATCAGAGAATCTTCAATTTTGTGTGAATTCTCTCAATTATGAAATTCTCAACCTTGAAAATGAATGAGGTCCCCTCTATTTATAACGGTTTCCACAGACTTGGTGGGCATTTTGGCTTGAATAATTTTGGGCCCAACCCAATTTTTTAAATGGATTTAAATTTATTTATTAATCCACCCGGTCTCATGGTAAATTGGGTTTTTGGTCAAGTTTGTGAACCAAATTGATTTCAAGCCCAATTTTCATATGACTCAATTACATATTTTAATTGTCAATTTATCTTTAATTTTAATTTAGGGTTAATTTATAGTTAATCCCTAAATAAAATAGATAATGACGTGGCCGTTTTTGTTTGGCCCAAAATTTATGGTTCTACATATGTCATTACTCACGATTTCCCAGAGGTAAAATGGTCAAAATCAAACTTATAAAAGAGTTTGAAAAATATAAATGGACATTTGTCATTATCAACTACCATTTGACCATTTTTCGAAGAGGAGTGACAAATAGGACACATACTTTAAAGTCTCTAAAATTTAGAGATAACAACATAAATGAGATTCATTTTAGACCCATATTACAAAAGTTTTTAAAAAGTACAGTTTTTATTTTTATAACATTTTTGTCTGGTGTTTCAAGGTTTGAGATTCACAATAGTATTGAGAATAATTGTCTCTCGTCGAGGTTCAAAATATAAACTATATTTCAGAAATGACCTTTCTAGTCATTATTTTCATATTTGGATTTCGAGATTTGATTTTTTTATTCCAGATTTGCCCTTAATTAATACTATTTCATTCAGTGGGATTTGTGTTTTATTTAAATAATTATATTTAATATTTATTCAAAAGTTCACATAATTCGTTTCCAAGATCAAGATTTTTGTGTGGAACATTTATAAGAATCTTCTTCCAACAGGGGAGAATATGTGTAAACGTGGAATTCAATCTGATCGAAGGTGCAGAAGGTGTGTAGGAGGTAGAGATGATATTTTCCATGCATTGTGGCTTTGCAAACAGAGCAAGATCTAAGGGCGGTTTACCCGTTATTATCATACGGATTGGCCAAAATCTATTTCTAATCTTCCTGACTTTTTATGGTGGTGTAAAGATAACTTAGGAAAAACTGATTTTGATTTGTTGTTTACAATGATCTGTGAGTGGTTTGGAGTGCTCGAAATAAGGTGGTTATGTGTGGGCAGTCTGAATACAGTCTACCGAAAGAAGGTGACCAGCTATAGGAGTGGGTTCAATGTTACATAAATCAATTTTATGTGTGTTGTGCAGAGGCAAAAGAGAAAGGGCAAAGGTATATATCTGGGAGGAATCATCGATCTAGCGAAAATCATTGGAATTTGCCAACTGAGTTTCAATTGAAATTAAATTCAGATGCAGCAATTAGAGTAGGGGAGAGACGAATTAGCATGGGAGCAGTGATTAGGGACAAAGATGGTGAAGTTTATCTGACCTTTTTGCAGTGTAAGCGTGGTTCGTTCACTGTTGATGAGGCTGAGGCTATGGCAATCAAAGACAGCTTGAGACTGGTGACTGAGATGGGGTTCACTGACTTGCTCATTAAGACCGATTCCCTTATTGTTTTCTCCCTGGTCATTCAAATAAGGAAGATCGCTATCAATTAGGCTTACTTGTTTATGAAATTAAAACCATAACGACGGCTTTAAGGGGTGTGAGTTTTACCCACGGTCGCAGAAGATGCAATCACGTGGCGCATGCAATGGTGAAGCTCGCGGTAGAAGAGAATGTGGAAGGTGTGTGGCTGGAGGAGTCGCCAGCGAGTTTGGAATGATTTGTGCAAGACGATGTCGTGCATCTGCTTTGTGTTGGGAGTTGATCTTTCTATTACAAGTTTGTTTGTTTTCCCTGTATTTCGTTTCTTTTTCAAAAACAAAATATATATATATAGTCTTCACATATAATATGATATATTCAAATTTTGAAAATTCATTATGGGCCCATCCGATTTATTCCCCATTTTTTCTCGAATCAATAATAATTTCTAAATCATTTCGTTTATAACAAAACTCCTCATATTTTATATTTTCCTACTCGTCGGAAACAACCATTATATATTTCCTTTTTCAGCGTCTTTTTTTCTAGCGGTTTCTTTTTTGGCATTTTTTTAATAGTATGATAAACATATACTCCTCTAAAATATTCTTTATGTATTTTAATTATCTTCTTCCCCACATTTTTTTCCAACATCGCTTTTTTTTTAAGAATATGATAAACATATACTTACTAGATTATATAACAATGACCATTATATAATATATTTTCACTTTAATTTTTTAATATAAATATGCTAAAATATACTCCAACAAAATGTTATTTAATATATATTTTCGTTGTTATATACTAAACTAGAGAGTTATATAATATACGTTTTTTTTTTTTGTCAAACTTTCAATATGATAACATATACCACCAATGTGTTATATAATATATACTTGTATATACATTTTTATAATATATACTGGTATATACATCATTGATCTCCCTCTCCTTTGATCCCGTTCGTCAAAGATCCCTATTCTTGGTTTCAAYTTTTCCCGGTTTATCAGAACCTCTTTTTAGATTTATTACCTAAGTAGTGAACAAATTCAATGAACTTATAAATTTTTTTTATATTAAAATAACTAAAGAAAATTCTATTAGTATATTAAAGGGTTTGTGATATMTGATCGATAGAAATATATTATTGTTATACTGTGATTGTGTCATCCAGAAAGAGGGAGCCTTCTTATTCATGCCTCTCCCCTCTCTCAACTGTTTCTTTGGCAACAAGCAACAACTCGATGACAACCTCATTGCCATAACCCACATACGGCGGTAACCTGTAGCAGGACGTCTCAACAATAATGGTCATTGACGTCAAGACCACTTGGAATGGCAGCTTACAACAAGACCACCTAGAACGCGGCTGACAGCGATATTGGCGACAGCGACACACGAACAGATCTGGCGACCCACGAACAAATCTGGCCACCCAGTGGCAGTGCGGCTCCCTTTGCAGACAGCGGCATTCTCTGCAAAGATCCTACTACCAGCTTCATGTCGAAGCAGCGATATGGAGGATTTTTAGGGATTTCGAGTTTTCAAATAAATGGTAAAGAAGCAATCGTGTATATTTTAGAGGGATTTGGGGTTTAAAAAACCGAAAATTGAGGCTCTCTGTAATTTTAGGAACTTGATTTTATGATTTTGTCTTTATTTTTTTATTAAATATATATTACAAAGGACCAATTGGTAATTTTCTTATGGTCCCGTGATAAACGGCCAATCTTTAGACAACATTATAAATTCTAAACAATTAAGCTAATTTTGTAATTTTAATTCCGTTATGCGCTAGTTCTATACTTATACATTGTATTAAATTTATAATTGTATCATTCATTAATAAATATTTAAAAAAAAAAATTTTGATAGGAAAAAATTGCGTAACCATTATATTAAAAAGTTACTTCTTTATTTCTTCCGCATTTTCATATTTGTTATATGAGATTTGTAAAAGTAAAATATATATATATATCTTTGGTTGTTTTTTGAAATGTTTACTTCCCTAAATCTTATTGACCTAAATATTTCAAACAACAAAGGAGAGTGCATCTGTCGTGTAACGCCCCGCGTTACTCAGGTTAGCTTGCCCCGAGTTCCGGAAAATTTTATAACAAAATAGATTTTGTTTATTGATTGATTTATTTATTTCA